GGCATTTAGCCATAACAGGGATCGACACAGCATCCATGATCTCCTTAATCATTTTGGGATCCGACATCCTAGCAACACCACCGTCAGCACGGATATCAGCAGGGATACGCTCGAGTGCCATAACGGCAACAGCACCTATAATAAACGATAAACAAGAAGGATAATGGATGGGTAGGTCATACCAGCAGCCTCGGCAATTTTAGCTTGCTCAACAGTCATAACGTCCATAATGACACCTCCCTTCAACATCTGGGCAAGACCCTGCTTAACTTTGATGGTCCCTTCGGTAGAAGACATGATAAGAGCTTGAGTGGTAGCTATATAGTAAAACTAGAGAGATGACCGGTACGCTCGTGGTATTAATCGTTTTACCTCAGGCAAAGGTAAAAACCTTTATGAGCTTCACACGTTTAGAGTATAGTGAAAATGTTATAGAGTCTACAACTAACAGGAGTCGTATGTAACTGCAAGGTAGCAGTGATATTGGAAGCAGACTATGCCACCTCGTTATCTGGAAACTAGCAGTCAAACAGTATCCATATCCATATCGATTAGCCTGGCGCGCGCATTATACGTGAGACCCTGGCGCATTTTGATTGGAAGGATGCTTTCTCGCCAATGAGTTCCTACAACAGTGACTTATTAGAGGACTGTTCAAGTATCACAGAGGAGAGAGGGATAAGAGAAGGGGGCATGTTGAAAGTAATGTAGATGTCAAGGGTTACACAGGATAGGTTAGCTACAATACACCTCTCCGTGTCATAAGGGTCAGTGAATAGGAGCTATTATTACTACTATCTCTACCACCATTCACTAATCCAAGTAACACTACTCTATTATGGTACTGTATTGATAAGACGTGAGTGAGGTGGTAAGTAGTAGTAGCAGCAGTAGTCAGCAGTACTATTGTGCTATATTTCTTTTCTTTTGTTCCTTCGACATAGATATCATCTGTTTCCTCTTAGCTATCCGCTGTCTATCATACCCTGATAATGTCGTCAAATGGCCTCTATCCAATGGTTTCCTAACAAGTGTCATTAATAATCACCACTCTTACTGCTACTACTACTCCTACTTATATTCACTGTTCTTCTGTTTACTGCCTGCCCCCTTCTTAGGATGTGGTAGATCATTCAACCAGGATGGTATATCCAAGCCAGACTGCTTCATAACACTGATGATTGGTCGTAGGTATCTGATAACCTAACATCACCTCCTCCTCCCCATCGTCTCTATATATCCCCATTACGGTTTATCCTCTGTAGTGAACATTGTGACAGCCTCTCCTTTATTACCAGCCCTACCAGTACGGCCTACTCTGTGTATATAAGTAGCCGAGGCCCGTGGTATATCGATGTTAATAACCTTGTATCAACACATAGATACAATGAGTATATGTATAGTATGCTTACTTGAGCAACGCCTTTAAAATCAACACCTCGGGCCATAACATCAGTACATATAAGTATCCATATCTTCCCCAAGCGGAAGTTCTCTATACACGTATCCCTCTGTTTACGACTCATATCAGAGTGAATACAAGCAACGAATACACCTGATCACACCACTCTACTAGTGAATGCAGCATTCATACCGAGCAGATACCATCAAACATCAATTCCTTAGTGAGCTCCTGTGCTCTAGCCTTGCTCTGTACGAACGCTAGACATGGTGGCTTTACTTCACCGTTGGCTATCATTCTACGCAGGGCCACTAGCTTGCCCTCCTCATTACCACAGAACAGGAGGCGTTGTTGTACCTATCAATGATGTGATACAAGCCCTGATGAGGCATAGAGTATTGATACATCCTTAGCAGCCGAACCTTGTTGGCCGACCCATACCCTATTCGGTGGTGGATCCATAACACTCATCCTAAGATGCACTACATTGTC